AGTTTTACAAACAATTGTTTTACTTTGATAGTGCTCCCTGGAATTCATTTGTAGAATTCAGTGTATGCAGTTGATGTTTGTACATATTTTTTTATGCGGGCCTTCTGCTGAACTGACCCCCTAAAAAAATGAAGCGCAAGCTCTCGCATGAATTCAGTCATGTTTACATGTAGGGTTCCACTCAGCATGCCACTGAGATTCTGTTGTTGTTGTTTTTTTTACGAACAACGATAGTGGTACTTTGATTAACATTTGGAATGTTGAGTGGTTGTACAGATGTTCACAATTCCTTAAGATTTTAATGCACATTCGGTTGACAGACAGATGGTGGCTGACGCTAATAGTCAAACCAGTACCCTGAGTTCTCACACCAAAATATTCATATTTTTAAATGCTTCCTCGGTATGAGATCGACTTCCTTAACAATGTAGAAAATGTAAGCTCAATCTCATTGTGATTCATACAACTACAAATTCAAGCAATTTTTTAGAGGAATATAGGATCATTTTCCTTCAGCACTATTTTGTTAGATGCAGCCAAATTACATAGAATCTGAAGTAGGGCGTATAAGAACTAACCTGTTGAAGTTTTAGCCCAGTGGATTATATATGTTGAAAAAGAATGTATGTACAATGTATTGGTCTGAAATTCAGTCTGGGACAAGGATTCTGTTGCAAACATACGTAAAACAGTGTGCCCGCGGGGACATTATTTTACGAACCCATTCCATGTTAAGGTTTTTTATACAATTTTCACAGGGTACTTGATTCCAGTCCTATCTTCATTTTGAGCATTGAGATTCCGTCATAGACCTTTATCATGCTGCCACCATTTAAGTCATGTTCCATGTATCCAATAACAGTACTGAATGATAATAATTGTGTGCAAAAAGGAACCAGACGATTTTTCCTCCTTGTTTTTTTCCTAATGATAAAACAAGATTAGAATCCTATTTGTGAAAAATATTTTTTTTGTAAACTTTTGCGTGAATCCACTCAGGCTGTTGTGTTACAACTGATAATGTAGTAACCAACGGATAACGTATCATCAACCGATAATGTATCACAAATTGACCGATATTGTATCACTAACCGATAATGTAGCAAAAATTGACTGATGGTGTAGTAAAATTTGTATCCGATAATGTATCACGTGTCGACGGATAATATAACTACAAAATAACTGTAGCCGATAATGTATCACCACGGAACCGATACTGTATCAACCGATAATGCATCCAAAATCAACCGGTAATGTATCAGTATATTTGGAAAAGGTGGAAATATTGCAAATTAATTGAAGTCTAATAAGTGCCTTTACTATAATAAGTCCCCACTCGGGAAAGTTTATCATTAAGATTTTTTTTTCGGTTGAATTTGGGAGGGAGTTTGTCTGGTTTGGAGACGCTCTACTTCCAAGTGGGCTTAGGCTATAGAGGCGTATCCAGCTTTTGATGTCGGGGGGGGGGGGGGGGTAACCGCACTCGCACATCCCGCGCCGAAATGTGGACATTTTCTCTGGACACTTTGGCTCCGTGCTCCAACCAAGAGGGCGCGTTTTACCACTTTGAGAGCACCGTGGACGTACGGGACCATTGAGCTCCGTATGGAGATCAATAAACGGGACAGCATGTGCGTACTGTTACTGTACTGGTTCGCGCGCAAAGTTCCACACCACTTCCAGAATGTGCCAAGGCTATTAGCCGAAGCGTCTTCGCATGATCGTTAGGCAACGTCGGCGCGCGCATAAGTTCAATTTAACTTGCGATGGTCTCCCAGATTATTCCCTCCCCAAATTTCGCTCGTACCCCCCGCCCTGCAAACAGGACGCTGTGATACCCTGATGAATTCACGCTCTGATTGGTTGGATTTTGCGTGGCCAGTGACCTGCGAGTCATCAAGGTCATGACTCTGCAAGGTTTGAAACGGCCGTTACGACTGATTCATTACTCTTTTATTCCAGTTTAGAGATGTATTCTTTCTCGTTGAAAATCGTAATAATGTACACAATTCTGTGTTGTAAATTTACAAATCCCGTCATTCGCTCAGGCTCCGTTTCGAATCACGAACGGTCGGATTGCATTATGCAATGCTCAAAATTGTGTCCACATGGTCCGCAATGAAACAGAAATCACATCCGGTATGGAATGTGCGCAACGCTATAGGAAGTTTTCGGATAGCATTTGCGCACATTGTTTAAATGTGGTCTTGAACAGCTGCAGCCAGATGCTTTATACATAGGTCATAGGCCACTTCCTTCACAAGATTTTCGGGAGCTCATCAGAGTATCCCAGCGTCCTGTTTGCTGGGCGGGGGGTACAAGCGAATCCCCCAATAACTTTGCATCATTCAAAATACGCAGTGGATGGACCGGGAACCAGTCTTGGTCCTCCCCGAACTCTCCGTTTCTGGCCGTTGAGGGGGCACTTGTGCACAGAGCCCATAGCTCCATGGTATAATCAAAAACTGAGAAGGAGGGGGGGGGGCTGGAGACCACATGACACTGGGGGCGCTGTTCATGATACAAATGTATCAGCGCAATTCAAGCTTTTTTGTACTCTTTATCCCTTTCACAGTACTATTTAATACATTTCGGCGGTTGGAAAGTTTGAAAAATACCTAAAATATACCTTTCTCTCTAAATACGAAATAATGGGGGATGATCCAATAGCACAGACCCCCTCCCCGGTCAAAAAGTGGGGCGGGATATATAGGACATAAAACAAACATTTGTGTACAACTTCTCCACATACTGATCCATTATCGGTTGATTTGTTATGCTTAATCGGTTGATACAGTATTCGTTCCGTGGTGATACATTATCGGATACAGTTATTTTGTAGTTATATTATCCGTCGACACGTGATACAAATTTTACTACACTATCAGTCAATTTTTGCTACATTATCGGTTAGTAATACAATATCGGTCAATTTGTGATACATTAACGGTTGGTGATACGTTATCCGTCGGTTACTACATTATCAGTTGTTTACTACTTTATCAGTTGTAACACATTGTATAGTTCACTGGAAATAATCAATCCAAATCACAGTTCGCCCCGACGGAGAGAGTTTTACTTCAGCTATAAAATTCAGCTATGCCTCCTTCTCTGGAGTCATCTCCAAGCGGATTTTTAGTAAATCATTTCTGTTGCTATTCTTTTTCAGCCAGCAATCTGCTCGAGTGTTGAGGATTCCGTTCGTGTTAGGATTCAAGAACGTGATTTGAAGGTCAGTGTCTGTTACTTGGCATTTACCGCAATCAAGCATCATAATAGAGCTGTGATGAGGTGGGAGACTTCATCGTTTTGTTTACGTTCATCTATAGGCCTGTTTTGTTGAATGATAACATAAAACGTCGATCGTAAATTCTAAAAAAAAAAAAAAAATCCAAACACTACATGACTGGTTGCTTTATGGGTCTTGAAAACTCACTTGATATCTCGTTGCAATAATAGCGCAGTACTGTACAGAATCACAGTCACGGTACTGTTCATTGACAAAACATGGCTATTAAGGTTTGACTGCATTCCTTTCAAATTTTCTGCTCATTTACGAATAGTTTAAAATTTAGTATGGTTCCTGGTGATTCAAATTTGCATCATTCTTTCACATGTAATAAAACATTGTTTCGGGATAAGCTCTACCCTGTATATTCCGACCCGTAAAATCAAGCATCACTGTATATTCTACCTCGTTTCTTTTTCTCTGTTGATTCAAACCCTCCCTTTTCAAACACAAACATGTGTTGCGATGAACATGTAAACATGTTTTCAGCAATCACTCTAAACAATTCAGGATGAAAAGTTGGTGACAGAAGAACAGATGTTGGAAATACGGACTACTCAAACATGGCTGGCTTGTTGGTGTTATGAATGAGTCGGATCGCAACCTTTTGCACTTTTGAACTTTGTCAGTTTGCTAGTTCACAGTGTGCAATTCCGGTTTATTATCAGGCTACTTTTAAGCAATGTTTGACAAGAGTCACTGGTTAGGAAAGATTACATGTAGAGGGCGCAAAATTGAACAAATTGGATCATGATGACGATGATGCACAACGATTTCTTCCAGTTCAAATTGCTTTATCTATCTGGAATCATATGTAGAAATCATAAATAGATATGATGTTTGTACTTTGTAGAAATTAATTGGCCCTTCTGCTCCGCTGTCCGCTTGAAACGTTTCAAGCACAAGCTCTCGTGGGGCTCAATATCTGGGATGAATTAATTTTTGTATGTAAGTTTTCACCCAGCATGCCCCCTAGATTCGAAACAACCATGGCTTGATATTTTGAAATGTATGTTTTCTTTTACAGTTGGAACAGATATTTACAAATTCAACACATTCTCCAAGACTCGATCTGTTATGAAACAGATGGCAGCTGCTGCTAATAGCAAAACTGATCAGCGCTGATTTCCGATTTCACTTTTGGATGAGACATTAAACAAAATAAACCACCTGCATTTGGGAAAATGAATTTCGTTCAGTGAGAACGTCGAATTGAAGCTTTTCAAATTAGATTAGTTTTGACTTAGCATACAAAATGTTAACATCCATAATTATTCATTTCTTTTTCAAACGAGGGCAACTTTTCATAAGTCTTACTTAGGCCTAGATGTGATTCCCCAGTTTGTCTGCATGATATCAATATTTTTTCTCTCATAGATCATTTTCCCGGCATTTAATTTGTTCTCATGTTTACGTATTTCATTGTTATTTTTCTTTACAGATGAAGATCTGCGTGGCCACCATTCTGTCAATCGCCCTCCTTCTGGGTAACTCAGTCAAGCTACGAGCTTCTGTTACTGGGCCGGTTCCCTCGGACGGTGATGGTTCTGCATCTCAGGTGGGTCAGCAATGCTGCCAGGGACCTGCTGCAATACCCGGCATACCAGGTCTGCCTGGGCCAGTAGGACCGATGGGGCCGTACGGTCAGCCGGGGTCAAAGGGCGATGCAGGTCAGCAGGGTCACGAAGGTGAGATTGGGCCTATTGGACCTATGGGTGAGCGGGGAACACCTGGGAACCCTGGGGACGACGGGATAGGGTCGCCCGGCAAGGTAGGTCCGAGGGGTACACCAGGGTTAGTTGGAGCAACCGGTCATACTGGCGTCAAAGGTCAAAAGGGTGAGCCAGGGGAGACACCAGACGACTCCAACCAGCGGGTAGCATTCACCGTGACGAGGACGAGTGCTTCAGATGTGTCTACGAACAGTAACACCCGTTTGCCCTTCCAGCAGACCGCGACGCTACTGCCGGGTACCAGCTTCGATCTCGAGACTGGCACATTCACGTGTAGTGTGTCGGGCACCTACGTGTTCATGTTTTCTATGAGCAAATATCCTTCCAGCAGCTCACTGTACGTCCTGCTCCGGAAGAACGACGACCCGGTTATCACTGGCTTAAGCAGAGCAAGTCACTGGCAGCCGATGTCTGGGAGCGCGGTGCTGGTTCTGCAGCAAGGAGACACGGTGTATCTTACCATGAGTGGTAGGGTGGGTGGTTATTCCAATCACGACACCTCATTTAGCGGCTTCCTCCTTTACCCCGAATAAATAAAATATCACTACACATAAATACATAAGAGCATCGTGTTGCTGAATACCTAGAATTCCATTTTGCGGAAAAAATAACCATTGTTGTTGAACTGTCATTATTTGTTTTGCGTTACCCACACGCACATCTTGTATACAATAGATATATTATTGATAGACATTAAAAATAATAATTACACTTGTTGACAACGGTTTTGTATACATTGTGGAATAAAAAAAATTCTGATGAAAATATCTTGAATATTTCATTTATACTATCTTAGTACAATTATGAACATGACTGTCAAACGGACATTGATACTGGCGGTTAATACAGATAATTTCAATCGATTTTCTCGTCCTTTTGTCCATGAAGATATTTCTTTGCAAATTTGCTTCTTAACTGTACACGATATTACGTGAAACTTAGAACAAACCTCAAACCTGATCCCAGGCGTGTAATATTACTCTGACGTCATGATGTCGTCATTGGCTATCAAATTACAAGCAAGTTTGGTTCAAAATACATGTATTACTACTTCCTATCATTTTATAACTCGTGAACAAAATGAACAGCACTTTGTGATCATATTTGATTCACATTTTGATTACCAAATGCAAAGTCGGGGGAACTAGAAGGTAAAGTCATCTGAATATAAAATGCATAGAGAAGCCTACAAAAAACCGACTAAATTCTACGTAACGGATCAATGGAGAAGGATGAATCCTGGTACAAATTTGAACCTTAGTCAACTGTGTAAAAGATGTGGACCTTTTTGTGACGTCATAATGATGTCAATCACTCACTCACTCACTTGTCCTTATAGACAGCATAGGTCCGTCGCGCCGATCTCCTGTGCCCGCGTCCTACAGCCTCATTCCACATGCAGTCAGGCTGGCTAGGCCGTCCGAGTTGCTCCAACCAAGATGATCTGGGACGGCAACGGGGTCGTCTCCAGCCTGGAGTTGGTCGTTGACCTCTCCTGGAATTGATGGAGTTTACAAGCTTTTGTGACGTCATCACGATGTCCTTGCACATCAAATGATATGTTTAAAATTTGACAAAATAGTTTGAACTATATCGTTTGAACTGCACTGTCATGCTAAATAGCACCTTGTTCATTTCAATGTGGATGTACATGATGTCTTGGGAAACATCTCTCATTCCCGAACACATTCAATCGCTTGGTATTTACTTCCGGTGTTACCGGAAGTGCATTTAGAATTGAATGTAATTTTAAAACGGTAGGGGTTTACTACAAACAAATGATGAAAATGTTCAGTGAGGGATGCCATTACATTTTTTGGCAATACTGGTCAAATGTTTATAAAAAAGTCCCCAGATGTTTTTGGACAACCTGACTTTGCAAGGATTCAAATTCTGACCGGAAGTTATTGTAGAAAGAATTTGAAATTACCTAGTTTCAGTTGTTTCAATGCCAATCTATTATTTGATCAGTATCCATGACTATGTTCGTAGCACGATAACGATTTGCGTTTGGGCTTCGGCTGCCAAATGTGTGACGTCATTTAACCAGAAGTCATATGTTATTAATACAAACACTTTTGAAAATAAAAATTGTTTGTATTGTGTAATTAAACACTAACAGGTTAATGCAACAAAGTAGAAAAGACAAACATGAACAAGTTACTAAATTAAATTATTTTTGTTCCTCCTTACCTTGATAGTATTTGGGTCGTAATCGTGCACACACAGTTTTATTTCTCGGCTGTATGTTCCCTATATAACACGCTGTTGAAATAGCTACATCATACGCCGCCGGGGTCACCCGTTGGCGTATCCATTGGAAAATAGAAATAACGGAATCCGAGACGTTCTGAGTGATATGTAAAGTCAGCTTTAAATCATTTTTGGGCTTATTTATTCTTAATGTCTGAGCATATTTAAAAGGGAAAATGTTCACCTAAGTCGCCCGTACAGACGATATGGTAAAATCGGCGGACGAGACAATGTGTGGAACGGCCACTATTGGAGATAGTGACGTTACACTGCGTGGCGTTACACTTCTGTGGCGTGTGCCCAGCACAGATAATGTAGATTTAATCAATCACATGCATGTATCATTTTTTTTATTTTACAAACTATTTCTCAAAATATCCAAATGATTTCCTGGCCTGTTGACTTACATTTGGTGATTAAAATAATAATTATTCAAAATATTGTATTGCTATTTATAGCAATTTGATGAAACGTTGAGACTTTTACAGTTTACAGGTGCTTCGAAAAAAAAAGAATACACTGTTTTTTATTTAAATGATTGCATTATTGTTAACATTATAATCTGTTAACATTTTTGTATAAATTATACTTGACTGCAAAAAAAGTACAATAGAAAAAAAATGTACAAAAAGAAATTTACGAAACGTGTTTACGACCGTTTTTGAATATTTTTGCTCGACGTTTGTATGGAAACAAAAACGTTTCATATGTTTTAAGTTGAGAAAATAAACAACCTTCCTGCCGAAAATATGGGGGGAATGGAATTCTCCTAAGAGTTCAAAGCCCACAAAAAGGATGGCATGTGTTTCTTGATTAAAAGACTCAATAAGCCTCCGTTCCAATGACGTCACACTTTGCTTACATGTGCACTTTCCTTTGGAGCCAGTGGAGGCCCACAATCCACTGAGCACCATAGGAAAGCACATACAAAGTGTGACGTTATTCGCACAGAGGCTTATTCATGAAACTCACTTTGAAAACATCAATTATACAAAGCAAACATCCCAATCAAGTGAGGAGGGTTTTGGGGCTTGTTTGAATTGTTCATTTGATCCTATAAGCTGCCATCAGATGGGATAATTTTCTATTATTTTAACTTAAATGTCTTTGTTGACTTCTACGGTGATACCAAATTTTGAATGAGTGATTTACCACAACCTTTCTCATAGGTGTGGATCATATTTTATTGTATAATCAAGTTAATATTTACACATTCAACATTTTAACACAAACTATCTCCTTTTTTTAGAATTTGGAAACCTTCTGTAAGTAGATGAGCCAAAAGTAGCACATATTTGGGGTCCCCTCAGTGAGAATGTATTATTGAATTATGTAATGAGTGCACTAGCTTATTATGAATGCGCAGGATGAGGAGTTATAATTCACATGTTACTGAATAAATTTAAAATAAGGAATTTTCTGGTCACATTTTGCTGAAAAAATTTGTTTAAGTACAATTATTTTATTGTGAAATGATGTTTTGTTAGATTGTACATAATTGGTTAACAGTTGTGAACTAGCTATGTGTTGACAAAGTTATTGCCTGGCGGTCTTGTGAGAAATTACAATTATTGAAACTTGAACAAAGTCAGTTTATATCAGGCCCAAGGCATACAATTACAAACAAAATCCATCTCCATCAAATGCTGGAGTTTTTCAATTGAGGATTCATGCGGTATTTCTACAATTTGAACTCCAAAGTAGTTACAAGCTTACAGTGACGACTCAAAACTATAAGAAAAGAATAATTTGATATAAAACTTCTCTATACCCTATTACACTAGCTTTTGAACATGTGGAAACTATCTACGTCTTCGGCTGGACTTCATTTATGCTTCAAACATGTTTGATCGTTCAACTGAAAACAGTTATTGATATCGTGTGTCGTAGCAACGTATCAAATCCCAATCTTACTTTTGTGGGAAAAAAATTCTCACAAGTTCTCAAATCTGCAATGATTGTTAAAATTATAATCACTTTGATATTAAAAGTCCTGTATGTTTTGTAATGCTTTATGGTTTGATATTTCGACTTCTGGCAGGTCATGATGATTACATACATGCATATAAATTGAAAGAGTTTAATTTGTATAAATGATTGTTCATGATTTATTACAATGTGGGTTGTTAAATGTGACACTATCACAGAGAAAAGATTAACATTTTCCCCATCGCTTGTCAGTAACACAGTAGTAGTTAATAATTGCTTTAAGAAAAGGATTGCTTACTTTCAAGTACAGCTGATTATATCGCTCTCTTTGACAGCTTAAATATTTGACAACACGAAGTAATCAATCTGATAAATGTCGAATATAACTACTCAGAAAATGTACTAAAACAATAAGAGAAAATATCTCGAGCTTTTGATCACTGCAAAAACGCTTTTTAAAACTCCTTCGGCTGTACTTCATTTATGGTGCCAAACACTTTTGAAATACACTTTCTGTTTGGAAGACGTCAATGGAATTCACGGGGAGTAAACCTCAAGTCCTTTAAGGGAGCTTATTTGATTTAGAATCATTTGTGACAAGTGCGTATATTGAATGTGTAAACTGAATAAAATAACCATTGCCTATCATTAAAACTATTGCCGATATTGTCCATCATGTACTTAGGATCAAGCTGTAGCATGTTTTGATTTCTTGAAAGCCAGGATGATCAATATTGTGATGAGCCTAAATGTCGGGTGAAGATTTGTAGAGGATGGGTGGGTTTGAGGGTTAGTTGAATTAAGGCTGATGGGGTTGAAGATAAGGGATTGGGAATTTACGGTTGAGAAGTTCGAGGATGAGGGTTTCGGGTAAGTGGGGGTCGGGAACGGGTTGGGGACAGGTTGGTGTCGAGGGAGGGGGCATGCTCAAGCGCCCCACCCCAACAAACCATTTTATTTACTTTCAGTAAGCAAACAAAGAACAAGATAAAACCACCATATCAAACACGATGATGTCTACTCATTTAGCTTTCCTACATTGATTCTTGAAATCCACCGATCCTTTAAAAAGTCCGCGACCCCGCGCCTTTTTTGGAATAGCCAACTTGTCGGACATTTGGCCTTATTAATTTTAATCTTCCCCTCCCCCTCACCCCCCCCCCCCAAAAAAAAGGTTATAGAATAGATCCACCGGTGAAAGGCGGGGGGAGGGGTCAGGCTTAGTTTGGGTTTGATAGTACGGCAGAGAGGTAATGGGGTCCTTTGATGATACAAGTGTGGAATTTGGCACACATCCAGAGTATGTCATGAGAAAGATATGTGGTTATTTGGCCATCGTAGAATTGCCCTTTGAAAAACAAAAAGGTTAAATAACAAGAAAAGGCCGCCATTTTGAAAATTTTGAAAATTGCATATTTTAGCTATATTTTGTTCAAAGGACAAATCTGCGATTGCTGTATCGTAGCCAAATATCGTTCTCATGACAAGAGCAAGGAATAATCAGAATTTTGATTTTTCAAATCAACACACAAACGGGCACTGTACAGTGACGGTTGCGATGCAAACCCCTTCTACATATGTTTGAATGTGCGTTGTTCACGAGTCGGCCATAATGAAGTAAAAGAGAGGTAAAATCGTCATTTTTGGAACTTGCGAATAGAACAGAAAGCAAGTAAATTACTAATAAATTCAAGTCTGCTTCAATAAATAATTTAAAATTTGTATTTAAACATTCCCTAATATTTTAAGCCAATTTTAAAGAAAAATGACAGCAAAATAAGGCCGCATAAATAGTCTGGCGCCATCCCATTAAACAGTTAAGAATTTATAAAATACATTCAGGGAACTTAACAAAAATGGCCAACTCGTGCATAAGGCTCATTACGTAATCGTTTTCTGCTATTTAAATTGGTGAGCGCCCTCTTAGTTGTGTAAACCGGTTCGCACGCTTTCCGCTGTTCTTCATGTTTTTTTTTGGTCGAAGACCAAGAATAAACATCACTCTCTTCGTTCCTGAACAGGTAACGATCTTTTTTTTATATGTTACCTCATTCTTTCCCATAATTATAACATATTAATTCACAGTTACGTATAATATCCTTAGCTTTCATTGGTATTGCTCTTCGGTCATTACTGTGTAGATTTTTGAAACATATGACCAGATATTGATTTACTTGCTATCCTTTATGTATTTAAGAAATATTTGTATTTTGAAGATTGATTCTGTTTTCGGCGAAGATCAAGTAACAACCGGTCTTTTG